TCATGATTGCATTCGTCTCTTTATGCCCAGCATATGTATATATAGTTTTGGGGTGGGGATCTCAACCGTTTTAAAGTTATGGCCCAGGGACTATGTCTCCAAGGGTGGGGCCAGACCCTAGGGACATCCTGGAAGCAAATGTGCATTCTTCTCTTTATACTCAGCAATTGTATATATGGTTATATGGTGGCCCCACCATTTGTACAATTTTGAATCCCTGCCTCCCATGAATACTTCCAACCAAATATGATCAATATCCATTGCATAGTTCTACAGAAGTCGTTTGTAGCAATATAGCCAAATTGCCCCCTTTTGGCCCCCTGGGGAGTCAGCCCCACCATTTGTACAATTTTAAATCCCTGCCTCCAAGGAATGCTTTTGATCAAATATAATTGATATCCAGTGCACAGTTCTACAGAAGAAGTCGTTTATAGCAATATAGCCAAATTGCCCCCTTTTGGCCCCGCTCCTCAGGCCCCTGGGGAGTCAGCCCCACCATTTGTACAATTTTTAATCACCACCACCTAGGGATGCTTCCAGTCAAATATGGTTGATATCCACTTCTTAGTTCCAGAGAAGAAGTCGCTTAAAGCAATATGAGCAAATTGACCCCTTTTTGCCCCGCCTCTCAGCCCCCTGGGGGGTCAGCCCCATTATTTGTACAATTTTGAATCCCCACCACCTAGGGATGCTTCCGGTCAAATTTAGTTTAATTCCAAACAGTGGTTAAGAAGAAGAAGTCGTTTAAAGAAATTCTTGACGTACGGACGGACGGACGGACGGACGGACGACGGACGCCACGGTATGGCATAAGCTCACCTTGGTCCTTCGGACCAGGTGAGCTAATAAATATGGAAGAAACCATCAATATATTTTAAATATCAATGTAACTTATGGTCAACCTGATTGATATGTACCTCATACAAAGAAAGGTTAAACGTTAAATACGTTTCATTTAACATTCACCTTCTAGTCCCCACCACAAGGGGAGTAACTCCTTTAGTATGGACAGATAAAATGCTCAACATCTTAAAGGACTGTCAATTATATTAAGTGTACAGATCGTTCATTTTTGTTGTCATTTTCTTAAAAGCCAAGTTTTCATATTTTGCTTCTGAAGTACACTAACTTCTGAAGTACACTAACATCTGAAGTACACTAACATCTGAAGTACATTAACAACATCTCAATTGTTTCTGTCGCTGGATACAATATTAAAGAAGTAAGGGGATGTACACTGCACAATAGGCCATTCTCCAGGTTTTTTTTAACTATTTAAGTGGACCACCTCTTACAAATATATATAAAATAACAACTGCACAGCCTTAAAGAAGTCATTGTACTACTTTTTTTCAAATCATTTGGGATACGTTCTGGAAGTTCTCAATGTAAAAATATTTTGTTTTCCCTGCATACATTCAACACACTCTTATTTGATGCAGATAGTTTGTGGCATCTACATGTTTAATATGGGTTTTTCCTGTTAATTGACTTTCTAAATCAAAAGAGACAACTCTTAGAAGCATTGTGAAATGCTTTCATCGGTATATAAAAGATTCATATCTGAGCTTTAAATCAAAGTGCATCCCATAATTTGTATATCAAACAATCTTGCAGATATATCAATGACACTGGTGATGTGTAATTAGTTGTTTGATTAAAACTACATTTTCAGACATCTCTCAAATGTGGTATAAAATATTGCATCCTTTATGGAACTTTTACCTGAAATACCTTTTCCTTGAATGAATAAGGTGAGATATGGCAAGTTGTGAGAAAATCCACCAAACAGTTTAGGAGGAGTTGCCCTTACAAGGTACGTTTGCAGGGGGTATAAAAGCACCAAGTATAAATGAATAGAAGAGGGTTTTTATGTCATTCTTGTATTCTCCAGTGTCTAGACATTTTCTATGTAATTAAATGTTTCCTCAAAAGGGTTAGGGTGGCGGGAGTGGGGTCATGTATTCAGTCTTTTGATATTTTAACGTTTCCTCAAGGAGAAGGGTTGTTTGGGATTTCAAGTAGTCAGGATCCCTCGACAGTAATCATTGGTGTCAAGTTTCCTCATAGAGGACGGATGATTGGGATTTGTTATACTGTACATGATTTCTAAATATCATATATTTGTTACTTCTCATAGAACTTAGAAGTGACTCGAATTGGGAATTTGTGTATTATGCATCCCCATCAAGAGCTAAGACCGGTAGTGTTATATCAATGTAATTATGAACAGTGTTCTACTCTCATTAGAACTACCAGATGACATCCAGGATGAAGTAAGATGGGCTCTTGTCAGTGCCACAAGTGTCAGAGGCATCCCATCAATGAAAATTTAAGCTTGACTTCAGAAAATCTTAAAAGGACTCACCTTAATGCATTCACAGATAACAATTATATAACTATACTTACACACTTACATATATAATTATGAAACACACTTCAGTGTGGATGCATTCAGTGGAAAATGGTTTTGTATAATTTTGGTTTCAGGACTTTGTTTGTGTTCTTGTTATAATAATCTGCTAATTGTAGGATACGTTGATCACAGATTATAACAAATATGGATTCCTCTGGCTAACTAATTAATTCTCCATGTTTGGAGGTTCAATGTTTGTACCAAAAGACAGAAGAATATCACATGGATCTTCTAACCACTTACTTTTATAGAAACATGGAGCAAGTTTGTAGGGCTGAAAAGCAATCTACCCCAAACATCAATAATATAAGTATATGCTTTATTGCTTATAAGCAAAGGTTTTAACCCTTTCACCACTGTAGACCATAATGGACTCAACCAGATCAATGCATGGTAGAGTCTACTAAAGTTACGTAGGGTTGAAAGGGTTAAGTATCATTCCTAAAACAAGATTTTTTAGGTTCATAAAATTGATTTCCAATGGAGTGAAAGAATCTTTTAATATATTACCTAGAACACTATTAAATATACCAAGCATCTTGAATTTTCTTATAGAAAAAAGGACATATGTGAAATTCACGTATTCTTTATCCCTAGACATTATTTATCAGTTACATCAAGTTTCCTCAGGGAGGACAGTTGGTTGGGAGTTGATGTGTTCAGGGACTCAGCAGTATTTAGTTGTTACTTCAAGATTCCTCAGAGAGGACAGTTGTCGGGATTTATGTATTCAGTCTCTAAATTGGGAGCTGACATATTCAGGGACTTGACATAATTCATTTGCTACATTCAGTGACTCGACATAATTCATTTGCTACATTCAGTGACTCGACATAATTCATTTACTACATTCAGTGACTCGACATAATTCATTTGCTACATTCACTGACTCCACATAATTCATTTGCTACATTCAGTGACTCCACACAATTCATTTGCTACATTCAGTGACTCGTCATAATTCATTTGCTACATTCAGTGACTCCTCATAATTCATTTGCTTCATTCAGTGACTCGACATAATTCATTTACTACATTCAGTGACTCGACATAAATCATTTGCTACATTCACTGACTCCACATAATTCATTTGCTACATTGAGGGACTCCACATAATTCATTTGCTACATTCACGGACTCCACATAATTCATTTGCTACATTGAGGGACTCCACATAATTCATTTGCTACATTCAGGGACTCCACATAATTCATTTGCTACATAAAGTTTCCTCAAGGAGGACAGTTGGTTGGGAGTTGATGTATTCAGATTCTATATTGGGGGTTGACTTATTGAGGGACTCGACAGAATTCATTTGCTACATGAGGTTTCCTCTGAGAGGACAGTTGTTGGGAGTTGAGGTGTTCAGTCTCTATACATTATTTATTTGTTATTTCAAGATTTCTCAGAAAGGAGGGTTGTGTGGGATTTCATGAATTCAAGGTCTCAAAAGAACTCATTTGCTACATAAAGTTTCCTCAGAGAGGAGGGTTGTTGGGAGTTGATGTTTTCAGTCTCTATATTGGGATGTTATATCTGTAGGGTCTCAACAGTACTCATTTGCTGCATAAAGTTTCCTCGGAGAGGAAATAAGTATGGGAGTTGGTGTATACATAACCATACATCATACATCATGTATACATTTAGGTACAAAATCTATATATGTTAATGTTTACATTTGTTATAGTAATTATTATGAAGCAAGTCAAGTTCTTATTAGAATCGCTCTTATTGGTTCTGATGGAAGTTCATAGGGGATCTTAATTTGGGAAGCAACCTACAGGGTACTAGGAGAAAACCCATGCAGTTGAGCAGGTGAACCCCAATACCTTTTTGCATACCTTTGGGTATCGGACCCTAGAAGTCTTGATGAAAGGCAAATGTACTCCCCATTTAGCTATTCCTCCACTGTGTTACACCAAGTTCCCTCATAAATGAGGTTTGTCTGGTTTTTCATAAATTCAGGCTAAAAGTAAACTCTTACAAGTTTCTTCATAGAAGGGACTTTGTAAGGAGTTATGTATGAAGGGTAGCACACAAGTGAGTATAAGGTAACAGTAACCACTGGGTATCATTATATGACGCACAGTGAGATACACTCACCGAGTCAGCCAGACTACCATTCAGTCAAAAGTAAGATGGACTGCTGTGTAGCAAGTGTCAGTAGTATTCATATGATTATTAATACATTGGTATACCGATATTGTCAATTTCTATACAAAATCTGATTAATCATGCTCAACAATGAAAGCTTGATTCCTCAGCAAATTGACAGTATCCATTTGTTTTCAGAAGTTTGAAGACAGGACTTAATTAGGTTGTGTTTTCAGGGTCTCAAACAGGTCTGACAGCAAATTAAGCTATCCATTGGATTAGTTAAATCAATCTTGTGTAACTCTGACTGAAATTGTTTCTACTATAGACTAATGCACTAGATGAAGCAAGTTTGACTCGGTTCTGTGTAACCAGTATCAGAGACATTCTGGTCTTTGGAAATCATCAAAGTTGTGTCAGTTTTTTTATACAAAATCTAATGAATCAAGATCCAAAATAAAAGCTTGATTCTTCAGAAAAATGTACATCATTACTCACCTTAAGGTGTTAAACTGACACACATAAGCTTAAAACAGACTTAAGTGTGCCTAAAATTGTGGAAATAATTATATGTTTTTTCTATGCAAATCATTTCTGGCAAGATTGTAATTATGAATTGGACCTAAAATATAAGATATTTGTTGTAATCAATCATCTTACAATTTTTATGGCAGACCAATTATGGGATTATGATAAAAAAAACACTTATTACCATCATTAACTGATGCTGTACATTTAGAGGCTCAATGTTTGTAGAGAGACACCTGATTAAAACATGAGTGGGTTTGTTCAGCTGAAAATTAACAATCTAGCCCAAGTATTAAAGAAAACAGTTTCATCTGATGAACCATTCATATGGTCCTTATACCGGTATACATGATTGCTTGATTAGAGGTAAAGCATCATCATCTAAACAAAATTTCTTGGGTTGCATCATTCTGATTGATCAGTCAGACAGAAATGAGGCCAACTGTTTTTCTGACTATCATTATCAAATAGTTAATACAGGTAATGGAGGTTCATTTGGAGTAATGGCAATGGTCAGTAATACAGATTTCTTAACACAGGAAGAAAGTAGATTCAGCAGTCTTTCTCAACTACATCGGTTGATTAGGTCAATTCTTTCAGAAGGGAGCTAGCAACCTTATTGTGTAACTTTTCAATTAAATCTTCATATCCTTAAAACATGAAAAGTAGTTGACCCTCTTCCTTCATGCTAGTTGATACTGCTAATTCCTTCAGGCAGGGTTAGATTTAAAACCTTACCCAGGGTAAGGGTTTAACCCTAATCCTGTATGTCAAGTATTATTCATAACGTTCAGAACAACCAATTATAAAGATTTCTTAACACACGAATGGCAGTTTACCATATTCATTAACTAAACCTCAGGAGTAATACTCCTAGTTGTCAGTAACGACAGGAGAAATGTTAGGAGAGCCGTCACCATGGCAGAGACTTACCTTACCAGCTAACAACGAGTCTCCACATGCCCCTCCCCACTCTATCTGGCACCACTGTAAGAAAATAACGTTAGGGCACAATAACAACAGTAGAAGGCACGGGTATTGTGTGTACTCACCCCTCCAAACCTGTTCTCAATAGCCTCGTCCTCCTCATCTGCCGCTGATGACTTCCTCTTCTCACCAGACTCTCGCACCTCATCCTCCATTTCAACCTAGTCAAAACACAAAATGATAATGAACTCCCTTATTAACTCGTAAGAGGGCTTGACCCAGAAATTCCTAATTTCATTCGAAATTATCAGTTGTAGCCGAAAGTGGTCCATTTGTTATGTATGGTTTTATTAACATTACATTTCCAAACAATTTAGACAGTTTTTCGTTCTTTTGATCCTTTGTACTGAATTGGATCTATGGCCAACTGCATCGGCAAACTTAAAACTTGAAGGTGCTTCTTTACCTTTTACTTGTAATTGTTTTGGGGATCTTAAAGTTGAATTGGCATCTTAAAAGCAATATATAAAGAAATCAAATCATCACTGGACCAACTACATGTTTTGAGGTAACATTTCTAGCAGTGTTATGAACCTGTGCTGAGAACAAGCATTGAACAAGAAAAGGAGGTGGTCAGCCACTGGACAAGACTACTCACGTCTGTGATAGACACCTCCTGTAGGAGAGAACGGATGTCCAGTCGCAGGTAATGGCGTGGCGTCTCCTCCCATTTTTTTTTAATCTGTAATGACCAAAACAAACTGTGTTCAGCTGGCAAACTGAGCTACACAGTACAGCTACATGACCGAGACCTTATTTCACATCTTTAGAACAAGGCTGTAGGAAGTTCAAACTGTATCCAAAATATCGGATATAATATATGGGTTAATGCACAGCACTGCTACATACATGATGGAGACATTATTTCACATCTTTAGAACAAGGCTGTAGGAAGTTCAGCCTTTATCCAAAATATCAGATATAATACATAGGTTAATGTCACAATTTCTTTCCCTTTTTTCCACCTATAAAAATTTGGAAATTATCTCAATAAACTTTTAAAAAAAAACAGGTTCATTTTCAAAATGGAATGGATACCTTTGATAGATTGTAAATGATGGTTTGTAAATCTCTTTTACTCACTTTCTCTAATTCCTTCAGTGATCGCTTGTGTGTATTTCTTTTGGCACATGTAGCTACTTCGCCTTGGATTTCAGCTATGTAGACCTAAAACACAGATCCAGAGATCCCTCTCAAACATTCAACATAAACAAATCAGCAATGTTCCTGTAAGTCATTCAGGATTAGGAATTTATTTGCGAGTATTGGGATTTACATAAAAGGACAATGATATCATACATTTCCCAATGGTGAGATATTGGAGTAAATAAGCTTGTGATGTTTGAATATACAACTGATTGTTAAATAATTAAACATAAAAATGTAAAAAAAAATTGCTGTAAATATAGAAGATTTACTAAAGTACTGTTTAATACAAATTAAACCATCATCACAATATGAACAAGAATTCTGCGAAGCGGTACATGATACGCCCGTCAGATGTTGAATGAGCAGTTTTCCACAAAGGGCCATAAGTGCATAAAGTCATTGCGCAGAAATTGTGTTCCCACAATTCTACAAAAGGCTGTAAGTCCGTAAATTATGGCTGTAGTTTGAAATCAATCGATTCAAAATTACTGAAGCTATTAAGTGGAAACTGTTTCGGCAATTCTATAAACGGCCCTAACTGCGTAAATAACAGGCAAATAATTTTGGTTATCGAACTTGTCCGCGCTTTCATGGCAATGAACCTTGCTACCAAGTTTGAAATAAATCCATTCAAAATTACTCAAGTTGTTGAGCGGAATGCCCGCCCGAATAAAAAGTGGAATAAAATTGTTGGTGAACCAACACAACGGAGATCCAACGTCCTACAAGCAATGGTCTGTCTGGTACAGGAATCAAGGGTATTCAAACTGAGCTCCATCCAAGAGTAATAAATTCAATAGGGTAAACGAAGGAGCACCAACACCAAGGATTCCGTTATTATAGACGTTTTATTGTTGATGTGTTTCGTCCTAACAATAGAAACATTAATATAGAAGTAATAATGATCATTTTATTTTTGTTTTCATTTTTTCCAAACAACTTGCATGAAAACCCACCTGGAAACCTTTGGATTTTGCATAACTCCAAAATTCCTCAAACTGTTTGCAGCGCTCATTGACAGCATCCACAATGATGAAGGCAAAGAAGCCATCGTCTATTGTCTTTTTAAAACTCTTGAACATGTTTTGTCTGTAGCTGTCCTCCAACTCTGCCTCATATTCGTATTCCAGAGACTAAAACAACAACAGACATCATACTGAAAATGCTCAGTGAAAACATTTGCATATTCAATCAAGATTTAAAGGAAATTTCAAAAGGATTGGTTCTGCAAACACAACTGTTGCTGAAACTTCTCATCATATTTCACCTTTGACCTTGAGGTGAGGACAACAAAGAACATGTTGTGATGTATCATCAATATATGAAGTTTCATCAAAACATTTTCATGTCAAGAATTAAATCTCCATACAAGACGAGAAAAATATATGTAAAACATGCTCCTACTTTCATGGAAATGGAGGTAAACGCAAAGTATAACCAAAGAAAATTGAGCTTAACGCAAAGTATACAGTCAGGTAACCAAAGTCAGTGCTGTGGGAAAGGTAGGTCACAGTGACCTATATACAATTCATTGGTAAAGTTCTCCTCAAGATACATCCACATGTGAAAGTTTGGAAACTGCTATAAAAATCCACTAGACCTGTAAGCTGAAGACTTACTAATAACCCCCCTCTCCCTCTTGTTGCAATGCCTACAATGGGCTGCAAAATTGCATAATAAAAACCTGTTGATTATCAGCATTTATCCAGATACAAATAACTGTAACAAAGGTTTGTTACAAATGTCCCAAAAACTTTCTGAGCAATCGCAAATGAAGCATTGCAAAAGATTATACTAGAACTACCAAACACAACTCAACTTACAGGAGACGTATCACCAAATCAAAGGCAGTCGACTTGAATCCAGAACTTAAGTCTGACAGTCATTCAACATAAATAAATCTTTTATGTGCCACTCCTATAAACTATCAACAACATTAGCCCAACAGTACTTAAGTTATAACTGACAGGCAATCAGAGCCAACAATTGCCATTTGTAATCCAAAAATTCTAAATTTGGTTCTCTATATGCAGAAGTAAGTTTTCTAAAGAAGATATTTTTTTAATTTGTTAAAATTGAAATTGACATAAAAACTGTTAATATTCAGCTGGTAGAACACACCAACCACCAACTAACCTTTTTCTTGATCTTACGGCCAGAATCAGGATCTTTTTCAACCTTATCCACCTCCACCATGAAGTAGTCATCCAGACAAAGCATGCGAGGGGCACCGCCGCCATGTTGCACCTCCTTATCCTGTAAATATATGATTTTATACAATTATTTTTAAATATTTATTTATGACATGTAAAATTCAAAGGTCAGTGAGTTGATATTCAATACATGTACAAATATTTGAGGTTCCACGTAACAATATTTCATGTAATACCAGTCAATAACTTAAATGAGACATGATGATGGACCAACCTACAAGTCCTGCACAAATTACCTTAGGAATACTTTGACTTTTAAGACAGAAACTCCTGATATTTTGCTAAAAATGAACAAAATCCAAAGCTGAAAAAAATCCCACAGGAAAGCTGAAGTCTCCCACTAACTACCAGTACTCCAACATCCTGTTAAAGTGAATTTGAAGAGTTTCTCTAAGTAAGAGAGGGTGAAAATTGATAATTTGAAGCTTATTTGACCATGCCATTCAATATATCATTCACCTGACATACTTAGGCAGTCAGCTAGGTGTCAAGAGAGCATGTGAGCTCAGTCAAAATAAGAAACAATGGTCAAACTCTGCAGGTGTCAACCATGACTTTATGTGAGAAAACAAAGTTACTTGGAAAGGGTGAAGTTAGGCCTAGCTATTGCAATAGGCTGTATCCATATCCTTACATCAAACATCCAGATATTATAAACTGGAAATAGGGCACACTGTGAATTGTTGAAACCATGCATACATAGCTCAATGTTTCCAATTTCACATGAATGCAGAGCTGTTGAGGTCGCAATTAACCCCCAAACAAGGAATAATGATGCTTAATATACCAGTGGCTGTGTTTCCCTACCTTTACAAGTTTGCCAACGTATGACTTGCCCGCTCCTGGTAGACCCCTGAGAATGACTACAATCTGTGCGGGCCTGCTGTTGCGGCCGGGAGGTACCAGCAGGTCGTCAACCTTCACTGATTCTATCTTAGGTTCATGTACCGACTGGTTTCCTCTGTCCTGGTCATATCTAAAATCTCTTGGAGCTCTGCAAAATTAACATTGAGAATTTCTGTCAGAAAAACTTCATTGCTGAGGGAATTTTCATCTTTTTTTATACAAATATCAAATTAAAGAATAACTCAAAAGCATTAATTTTGTACTTCAGAGTATTGACGCCAGGGTCGACAGGGTATTGACGCCAGGGTCACCAAGGTATTGACGCCAGGGTCAACAAGGTATTGACACCAGGATCAATTAGGTAGCGATGCCTGGGTCGAAATCACTATTTACTACTAACAGAATTTGTAGCACTCTACCTCGACTTTCCATACTCTCCATGAGAAAGCTTATCAATAATGTTTATAAATGGACTTCTATCATATGCTTTAACATGTACTGACAGTAACAGAGGGGACAACATACCTTTCCTTTTCCGAACCATTAGCTGAAACAAAAGAATGGATTTCTTTACATAATTATGTACATATTGCAAATAGTCCAAAAAATACGAAATATTAAACAAGAGAGAGTGTATCGCTCACCTGAATATTTAAGCAGTCATAGCAAAATATTCTCATTAAATATTATATTGCACTAAAAATATTTCCCTCGCAAACTTTGTTGGCTCCATCTGTTAAAACTACCAGCAAAATATTATTATAAGATTCTATGCTTTTTGATTCTTCTTCAGAAGTTGCTTGACATATTTTTCCCTGTGATCTTGTAAGTAGGTCAATGTCATTTTCCTTCTCAAATTGGTTAGCTCTATTCCAAAAAGCTACCAGCCAAATCTTATGAATCCATTCCTTTTAGTTCTCAAGAACAAATCCATTAAAATGTTGTTGACCTCTGTGACCTCTAAAGTAGGTTGAGGTCATTTTCATTTGCAAACTTTGGTGAGCTCTATCCCGGGAAGTCACCAGCCAAATATTATAATTTTATGCCTTTTAATTCTTCAGAAGAAGCTGTTTGAACTGTTTGACATATTTGAACGCTGTGACCTTGAAAGTAGGTCAAGGTCATTTTCATTCGCAAACTTTGTTTGGCTCTTTCCCAGGAAGCCACCTGCCAAATATTAAGATTTTATAACTACCAGTTCTTCAGAAGAAGTCGTTTAAAGTGTTTGACATATCTGCCTCATGTGACCTTAAAAGAAGGTCAAGGTCATTTTCATTCTCAAACTTTGTTCGGCTCTTTCCTAGGAAGCTACAAGCCAAATATAGAGATTATATACCTTTCAGTTCTTCAGAAGAAGTCGTTTGAAGTGTCTGACACATTTGACTCCTGTGACCTTGAAAGAAGGTCAAGGTCATTTTCATTCTCAAACTTTGTCGGGCTCTATCCAAGGAAGCCATCAATCAAAAATAAAGATTCTATACCTTTCAGTTCTTCAGAAGAAGTCATTTGAAGCTTTTGACATATATGACCCCTGTGACCTTGAAAGTAGGTCAAACTAGTTTTCATTCTCAAACTTTGTTGGGCTCTATCCCAGGAAGCCACCAGCCAAATATAAAGATTATATACCTTTCAGTTCTTCAGAAGAAGTCGTTTGAAGTGTTTGACACATTTGACCCCTGTGACCTTGAAAGAAGGTCAAGGTAATTTTCATTCTCAAACTTTGTTGGGCTCCATCCAAGGAAGCCATCAGCCAAATATGAAGATTCTATACCTTTTAATTCTTCAGAAGAAGTCGTTTGAAGTTTTTGACATATTTGACCCCTGTGACCTTGAAAGTAGGTCAAACTAATTTTCATTCTCAAACTTTGTTGGTCTCTATCCCAGGAAGCCACCAGCCAAATATAAAGATTCTATACCTTTCAGTTCTTCAGAAGAAGTCGTTTGAAGTGTTTGACACATTTGACCCCTGTGACCTTGAAAGTAGGTCAAGGTCATTTTCATTCTCAAACTTTGTTGGGCTCTATCCCAGGAAGCCATCAGCCAAATATGAAGATTCTATACCTTTTAGTTCTTTAGAAGAAGTCGTTTGAAGTTTTTGACATATTTGACCCATGTGACCTTGAAAACAGGTCAAGGTCATTTTCGTTCTCAAACTTTATAGGGCTCCTACCAACAAAGCTTTCAGCCAAATATCATGACTCTAGGCCTGTCCGTTCTTCAGAAAAAGTTGTTTAAAGGAAAAGTTGACGGACGAGGACGGACGGACAGACGGACAACGGACGCCGCGCCACTGCATAAGCTTCGTGCCAGGTGAGCTAACAATGATTTCGATTACACTTTTTGATGTTCTATTTTTAACTATCATTTACATCTCGCACAAACATTTTTTTTTAACATATACCATTCGATTAATACGACAGTTTGGTTTGGTTTAGTATTGTTTAACGTCCTATCAACAGCTATGGTCATTTAAGGACGGCCTCCCCTGTGTGCAAGATGCATGCGTGTAGTTAAAATTGTGTGTTTTGGGAGGCTGCGATATGTTCATGTTTGTCTCCTTGTGATAGCGCGGAACTGATGCCGACTTTATAGTGCTAACTTACTGAAACATACTGCCGAAGACACTCAGCAGGACACCCTACCCAGTCACATTATACTGACAACGGGCGAACCAGTCGGCCCACTCCTAAATAGCTGAATGTTAAGCAGGAGTAGAAACTACCATATTTACAGATCTAGACTCTGGTATGTCTCGGCCAGGGGACAGAACCCAAAGCCTTCCTCACAGGGGCGAACGCTCAACTAAAGGCCAAAAGTGAGGCATTGTCAAGGGAGACATTAGGAAGAAGAAAGTTGTTTGAAGAAGAGAAAAGATAAGATCCCAAATTTAGTCGCCTTTAACAATCATGCAATGGGGGCAGCAGGTACAATTCTTACCCCTACCTGCAGTGCCATAAATCTGAGGTAAAATAACAATCAAAAGGCACTAAGAGATTGATCGTTGGTGATTGATCAATATGTCTGTGATATTGTGACATGTATTTTAATTGTAAACTGTTATATTTCTTATATGTTATCAACTATATTCAATCAATTATAATCAGCTGAATCTCCCTGTAGACAGCCATTCTAACTTTCTCTCCTCTTCTTTCTCTATGCACTCTCTCCCCAGTCTCATTCTTTCTCTCCCCTTTATCTTCTTTTCTTCCCTTTCTAAGCTTTACTCAATCCCTTTCCTTTCTCTGCCTATTCCTACTCTTCCCTTTCTCCCTCTGATCTCCCCCTCTCTATATCTCTCCCCAGCCCTCTGCTTTCTCCCCTCTCTATATATCTTCCCAGCCCTTTTATCTCTTCCCTCACTTTATCTCTCCCCAACCCTCTGATTTCTCCCCTCTCTAGCTCTCTCCCAAACCCCCCCATCCCTCCCCTCTCTATATCTCTCTCCAGCCCTCTGATTTCTGTCTAAATCACACTTCTGCATCCTGATCTCTCCCCTCTCTATATNTCCCCTCTCTATATCTCTCCCCAGCCCTCTGATCTCTTTCCTCTCTATATCTCTCCCCAACCCTTTTATCTCTTCATTCTCTATATCTCTCCCCAGCTTTCTGATCTCTCCCATCTCTATATCTCTCCCCAGCCCTCTGATCTCTCCCCTCTCTTTATCTCTTCCCAGCCCTTTTATCTCTCCCCTCTCTATATCTCTCTCCATTCTTTTCTTTTTCTCTCCCATTTCTATATCTCTCCCCAGCCCTCTGATCTCTCCCCTCTGTATATCTCTCCCAGCCCTCTGATCTCTTTCCTCTCTATATCTCTCCACAGCCCTCTGATCTCTTTCCTCTCTTTATCTCTCCACAGCCCTCTGATCTCTCCCAAGCCCTCTGATCTCTCCCCTCTCTATATCTCTCCCCAGCCCTCTACTTTCTCCCCTCTCTATATCTCTCCCCAGCCCCCTGATCTCTTTCCTCTCTATATCTCTCCACAGCCCTCTGATCACTTTCCTCTCTTTATCTCTCCACAGCCCTCTGATCTCTCCCAAGCCCTCTGATCTCTCCCCTCTCTATATCTCTTCCAAGCCCTTTTATCTCTCCACTCTCTATACCCTCCCCAGCCCTCAGATCTCTCCCCTCTCTATATCTCTCCTCAGCCCTCTGATCTCTCCCCTCTCTATATCTCTCCCCAGCCCTTTATCTCTTCCTTCTCTATATCTTTCCCAAGCTCTCTGATCTCTCCCCTCTCTATATCTCTCCCCAATCCTCTGATCTCTACCCTCTCTATATCTCTCCCCAGCCCTTTTATCTCTTCCTTCTCTAATTCTTTCCCAAGCTCTCTGATCTCTCCCCTCTCTACATCTCTCCCCTACCCTCTGATCTCTTTCTTCTATATATCTCTCCCCAGCCCTTTGATCTCTCCCCTCTCTATATTTTCCCCCAGGTAGGACCTTTCAATCCTACATAAAACATCTGACAGAACTTTATATAATCTATATCCATATTCACCATTTCTTTTCTTTTTCTTTCCCCAACCTCTGATCCCTCCCCCCTTCTTCCTCCTTTTTTTTTCTTTCCTTTTTTTTTCTCTTACCCTCCCTCTATCTTTTTCCTTATTCCCCTCTCCCTATCTCTCGCTACCTCTCATGTATCTCTGTAACTTACTTGAGTCAGCCTCAATACTGCTACTGCGACCATGTCCATAATCTATGACTGTTTGAGGGGGAATGAATGCAGGCTCCATATCTGAAGAATACAGCAAAAATCAAAATGCATTTGACTATTCTTCTTAAAGAACAGAGACAATTTTTCATGAATTCCTTTCTCTAAAAAGCTGTGGGAATCATGAGAATTAAAGAAAATATCATGAACATTTTTAAACAAAAGTTGCCAAATTTTAATTATATTTTAGCTGTTATGGAAAAGGTGAAAATCTATTATTTTACAAATTGAAAGGGAGTCATCCTACACTACATCCAGTAGTTCAAAAATGCTTGAAATTTTTAAAAAAACTGAAATAGTACATGTTCAAGCATTTTCACTATATAGCATATATGCCTCTGTATGTTCACTTTAACTTAGTCTCCTTTTGTATTATACTATCCCTTTCTTTCGACAGATGATTTACTTTCTTTCTCAACTCATATTAGAAGATGACTTCTGTTTTTCTCCTCCACAACATGACAAGCCTTAACCCTTTCATCCCTATGTAGCTTTAGTAGACTCTACCATGCATTGATCTGGACGAGTCCAATATGGTCTAAAGTGGTGAAAGGGTTAATTAATCATAAAGCTGATCTAAAAATACCAACTATGATTGAAATATAGGAATACACAGAATTATCAAAAAAAAAGGTTTATTGACTTCATACTTGTGACACAAGGCCTTCGTTTAGGTTTGAATAAACAGGAATTATTTATAGTGTTACAGGAAACCAATAGTCCCTCACCCTAGAATCAACAGTGTGTTATTATTCTGTCAGCTGATAGCCTGTTCAGGTATCTATTATAAGAGAATCATATTTTCTTTCCTTACCTTGTGGAAACAACAAACATATCTCAACCAAGAGGAAAGATTCTTTAAATACTAAACCCCAGGCTTTTCAGTCAATGACATTCAAGATTTCTACCCCAAATGGAACTGAATATTTCATTTTTCTATCACTATCACTAAAGAATATATATTGACCAAGATGATTGCTCTCTGTTCCAAATGCCACACTATAATATAACATTATCTGATTATAAAGAGTGATATCTTTCAATTTTGTTAAGGATAACCTAGCAGTTATATTGAGGGCTTTGACAGAAAACAAAATTAGACAGTTACAAACGAAGACAAATCTGTACAAAGGGAGACAAATCAGTACAAGGAAGTAGAAAATTTGGCCATTGACATTTCTAGGTAAACAACACAGGGAGAAATGAAGTTTCTGCTAATGAGATCAACTTGTCTCTACCTCTGGACTTATTTACCTGTAGCCTGGCTTACAATTAAAGAATCATCCTTGAAATAAGGAAGGATCCTGTCAGACCTGATTCAAATTATTTACAAATGTCTCCCTCAGTCAGAAGTCATTTTTTACCAAATCTGATTTCGCTTTTGATGTATATATGTACATAAAATTTCAACATATAGTTTCCATATATATCTGAAAGAGATCTGATAATTTGCCATAGCAGTGTATAATACGTACCTTGTAAACCTGTAGACTTGTGCGAGTGATCTATGACTATAGGGGGAACATAGGGCCTGTCAACTATATCACGAGCTGGTAAATAACGGTCTATGTTACGATCAAGGCTTCGCTCTCGGTCGAGCAGGGGATCTCGTTCAAGTGATCTCTCACGGCTTAGTGGCGAGTATGGTCTTCCTCGATCATACCTGGACATCAAAACAAGGTAAATAAATAAGTTAAAGGGATTACTGTATACCTGGGAACTTTCGCCCAGTCAAACGTTGCCCCTACGCTGGTAAAATCTGTTTTTTTCCCCCAGTGTTAATTAACCATACAATTGGATTGCCGATGTTTATTATGTTGTTTACTAATGTTGGTTCTTTAATAATAAACTCAGCCTCATCACCAACGGCCAAAAAGGCGAAAAATTCACTGCTGTGAACATTTCCTGGTATACAGTACCTCCGTATGTAATGGCCTACTATGTCTAGAAGTGAATTTAAACTCATGGATCCAGCAGCATTTCAAACTCTCACCACTCTCCTGGGATAATTATAAATTATAAACACTGAATGATAACTTGATACAAGAAGATCATAAGAAACATTTCAAAATTGAAAGAATGTGACGTAACAATTTCATTATGGATATATAGTTAATGTGTTTTCTTCAGTTTTATTACAGAATTCCAGTTGGTTTACCTGTATGGATCTGGGTAGTAGGGTCGTCTATCATAGGGGTCTGGGGGTGGCAGGTACATCCTGTCATAGGGGTCACGGTAGTAGGGGTCATGTTCACGTCTAAGGTAGGGATCGGGGAAAGGTCGGTCATAGGGGTCACGAGGAGGTAAGCCAGGCCGATCCCTCCAAGGATCCTCTAGTCGGGAATCAGCAAATCTGTCAGGATATCCGTACTCATCCCTTCTGTATGGGTCGTCTTTTCCAAGACGCTGGTGAATAGATGTGGAAGTTAACAGCAATAAATTCTGATTTAAAGTACATCTTGCCCAATTAATCATGTACCAAACAGGTGTTGGAACTTAACATTAGAACTTAGACCGTTAGACAATCATCATAAAAATCACTGTAGGTATATAGAAATCCTTTGCTTCATAGACCAATTTAGGTTTTCATCAAGATATTTTCTATGATGTGTATGATTCAATGAAAAGTCTACTAAAAGAGTGAGCGAAAAAGGTTTTACATCATTTCCTAGAAATCATGTTAGCAAATACTACCCTAAATAAGTATATAAAACTAGAAACTGTCTTTAAATACCCCCGCCGCCATGTGAATTCAGTTCAGTGTTTAATAAAGTTGTATAAATAGTTACAACAGCTTTGATCTTGACACCCTGAAGTATATTTATGTATGCATTCAAGGTTTTACAATGAATGAAAAATCCCAAACAATCAATCATGGTAATTGGAGAAATATAGAGAACTATTTTCTATGAATAGCAACATGTAGTGACATTTGAAATGTTTTATCGTAGGTGCATCATAACATTTTCTTGGGCAAGACATGGTATATCAACATTTACATAGGTCTATAAAGAATCTTTTATCTCCTAGACCTATTGTCTATATGGTGTGCAGTAAATTCTAAATTCTAAAACTGACCAAATATCTTTATATTAAACGACTTGGAACTTAAAAATGCAGTGACCAAAATTTCATTGATTGATGTGGTACTCCTCAAACTGCATCCACAAAATTATGGAGTTTGAAGGATAGTGTTTTAGTAGCTAAATGCAAAGTCCAGCCAAGATGGAGTAGTTTGTTTGGGGTTTAACATATGAAAACGGGTAATCGACAGACCAACTGATAGAACTCGCAGATATTTAATGCTCCTCCACAATGTTGCAGGGGACATGTAAATGAAAGTATTTTTACCTCATCTTCACCAAAGGGTGGAGGTGGCTGTCCTGCACCATACGCCCCATAGTCCTTGTCCTGTCCAGGACCCTGCCAGTCCTGGTCGGGTCTGCCTCTGCCACGTCCTCTCTGCCACCCTGGCTGATCCTCCCCATCGCCTTGTGCTCCCCACCCCTGGTCCTTCTCATCTTCGCCACGTCCTCTACCATACCATCCCTGTTGATCACCACTGTCCTGTCCTGGTCTGCCCCTTCCCCTGCCTGGAGGTCTCCATCTCTGTTTGTCTTCCTCCTCCTGGCCTTGTCTGCCACGCCCCCTACCGGGCTGCCATCCTTGCCAGTCCTCCTCCTCCTCACCAGATCTGCCTCTACCTCGGCCTGGGGGTCCCTGCCAACCCTGCCAGTCATCATCCTGCTGCCCTGGTCTGCCCCTATTTCTGCCAGGGGGTCCCTGCCAACCCTGCCAGTCATCATCCTGCTGCCCTGGTCTGCCTCTACCTCTGCCAGGGGGTCCCTGCCAACCCTGCTGGTTTTCATCCTCCTGACCTTGTCTGCCCCTACCTCTACCAGGGGGTCCTTGCCAACCCTGTTTGTTTTCATCCTCCTGACCTTGTCTGCCCCTACCTCTACCAGGGGGTCCCTGCCAACTCTGCTGGTTTTCATCCTCCTGACCTTGTCTGCCTCTACCTCTACCAGGGGGTCCCTGCAAACCCTGCTGGTTTTCATCTTCCTGTCCTTGTCTGCCTCTACCTCTGCCAGGGGGTCCTTGCCATTGATTGCCCTGCCAACCGCCTGTCTGTTGATCATGTCCTCTGCCCCGTCCCCTTCCAAATGGTCCAGCCTGATTTGGCCCCCCGAACCTTGGGCCTTGTTGTGGCTCGGGCCCCATACCTTGTTGTCCTGGTCTGGGCCATGGTGGGCGGGTACCCATGCCCTGTGAGGCGTTGTTCTGCAGGTCAGTACTCTGTGGAGGCTCAGGACCGGCATTCTGTAGAGCCTTGAGCAGGTCACCAACACCCCGAATTGCCTTCATAGTCTGTACATAGAAAATCAAAACCATAAAATCTGGTAAAAAAATGGCATCCAGCAATATTTTGCAGGGTATATATATTTTGACAAAATTTGGCACTGGAAAATTGATATAAATGTTACGTTTTTCCCAAAATCTTACTAGAAAAGCAAAAATTTCTATCATCACAACACTTGGTACCATATTTTGAGTAACAAGATGTTCATGTGCCGAAGTCACTCAACTAAGAAAGGCAGACATTAACATATTATTTCCTTATTGGGCCAGGCCCCTTGGCCTACTGTGTCATCAGTGTTCCCCATGAATTATCAATAGATTTATACTGATCTTCACGATGCTTCACCCAAGGTTCTTGCATAGGACAGTCCTTGAAAAATAGGAGTAAACCCAAATATTTTCAGGGCTATGTGGAACAGCGTCACCATACCGGTATTTCTATTTATACCCTGGTGAATCCCAGCTTAAGCCTAGGAAACTTGTAAGCAACATACATTACATGTAATTATTTATCTCTAAGAAAGGAGTAGCCTTTAAAATTAGTGTTAATTTTGTTTGATCTCTATCCTGAAGGGGAAGTAGGCACATCCTTTATTTTATCAGCTTGATCAAGTTAGATATATAAAACTCCATCATTTTTTAGACAAGTAGCCTTTTGGAAGAAAAGTTAACACAGGATGTTAGACGATGGATTCCACAGATAAAGTTTAAATCTTTGGCCCTTGCAGATCGGCTTATACAATTAACAAAATTATAGGAAGGGTTCTCATCATTAAAAATTTTAAAAGCTGTGTATGATTAAAAATATGTTTTATGTCTGTGAGAGGAAGCTATGAAAATTCTACCTGAGGAGTTATGAACAAGAATATATCCCCTTTAACAGGCTGACGGTGTTACAGCCAATCAATTACCCTAATGGTATAACTAATCTGTCTTTTACATACCGGTACAACTATGTATTTGTATTTCCTATCCAGCTTTTATAATCCACAAAACATTAATATACTGGGAACAAACGTAACTTTTCTGTCAGCTTCCATTTTTTACTTGACATCATTTTGTAAACCTCTTCATCATTTGGGTCTTCTTTATGGCGTCAGAATTATGACTATACCATACATGTACGAGACAAATTTCACCCAAAACAAGAGAATTCTTACCATTAAAATGTATATCTACCACAATGAGGTTAAAGGAGGTTTTTTCATCTTAATTTATTTCTATAAAATTTTGGAGTACCACTGCAAGTAAAAGAAACTAACCTTTGCGGGTTCACTTTCATCTTCATCTTCATCGCCCAAACTGAAACATGGATGACAATACCATTAAAATAGCAGCATGTTATATGTAAGTTTATGTACAGCATTTGAAACCAAGTTTCATAAACTAGCCAAATGCTATTCACTTCCTGGACAATACGGTGACAAATCACCAGATTGAACTCTACATACCCACCTTTATACCATGTATGGGATATTTGATACTTACCAAACATGAAGAACACTTCCAAAATTTGTTCATGGTTTAATAATCTTGGTTTTCTAATGTACATGACTTGTATAATATTTTTGCTCATTCCTCTGTCCAGTCTATCAGATTGTTAATATGTCAGTTGTTACTGTCACGTGATTTCACAGACAGTTACGTATATACTATTACGTCATGTCTCATCTGAAATTTCTACCTTAATTAGCCACAATAAAAGTGAACAGCGTTGTTCTCATGACAGCTAGCCTAGCTAGTTGAAACATGTAAACTGTTATTAAAATACGGAATCTAGATGTTGACGCTCTATTTTATATATCCTTTGCATCAAGTTTCATAACAATACTATATGTAAAAGAGCCTTCTATATCACAATCCCAGAAATAGTTATTCTGATGAAATACAAGCCCAATTCCCTTTAAAACTTAGTCACATTTATTGAAAATAGTGTTAAATTACACCTGTAGACGATGACACTACAGATGCATATAGCATACCCAACCTTTCACTTTGTATTAAAACAAAAAGGCTGGGGATTGAAAACTGAAGTATCACAAACATTTCTTTATAACCAAATCACTGAAAGTAAAGGAAGTTTGAATTATCTTCAAACTTCTCATATCTTGAAATTACCCGAGTCCACTTGGCATTAAATCATGTTTAATGATTACAGATAGCAGGGTTGAAACAAGATCATTGCATGAGATGACCATATAAAGTCAGTAAAGGACTTACCCTGGGATTTTCTGTTCTCCTTCAGATTTATCCTCTGTTGCAGGTTTATCTGAACTTGTTTTGTCTCCAGGTTTGGCAGCCTCCTCAGGTTTGTCTCCAGGTTTACCTGAGGGACCAGCTTTGTCACCTGGTTTGCCTGCTGTAGTGGCTTCAGGTTTGTCACCAGGTTTACTTGCTGTTGCAGCTCCTGGTTTTTCTCCTGGTTTGCCTGTTGCAGGGGCTATTGGTTTATCGCCAGGCTTTCCTCCAACAACAGTGCTTGCTTTCGTTGGGGATGGCTGACCAGTCTTGGAATCTAGACCAGACGATGCATCTGGTTTCTTGTCACTGGGCTTTTCCTGGTTTGATGCAGCCTGATTTTTGTTAGGCTGGTTTCCTGTTGCTGGTAAAGTCATTTTACCTTGTGTGGGTGGACCAGCGGGCTTCTGTCCTGATCCAGTACCCTGTGGTGGTCCCTTCTTAGACAATGCTCCTGGCCCTGGACCCAATAATGATCCCTTACCATGTGAAGCTCCAAATGGTGTGCTTGCATCCACAAATGTCCACTCATCATCCTCAGCTGTTTCTTCCTCCTCCATATCTTGTTCCTCCAAGTTATCCATTCCTCCCTGTAAGTTAAGGTCCATCAATGGAACAGGGCCTCCCCCTCGACCCATGAATCCCCCTCTACCTGGCTGACCAGACATCATACCACCCCTACCACCTCTGCCTGGACCCATTCCTCTGCCTCCAACAAATGGCATCTGCTGCCTGGGACCTTGTCCTCGCATAAAGCCTCGTCCCCCTGCTGACTCATTCATTTGACCTTGAGGACCGTCAAATCGTTGACCTCTTCCTCCAAGACCTTGTGGCATTCCTCTTTGGTTTCCTCTGCCTCTTCCTTGATTGTTATTTCCCTCACCCTGCTGGTTGTCCATATTTTGACCAAAAGGCCTAGGGCCCAATAAGCCTTGTCCCCTTATCCCAAACGAACCTTCTTTGCCAATTGGTCCTTGACCTCCCATCTGCCCTCTGCCACCTACCATCTGCCCTCTGCCACCTACCAACTGCCCTCTGCCACCTCCCATCTGCCCTCTGCCACCTCCCATTTGACCTCGACCTCCCATTTGTCCTCGACCACCCATCTGACCTCGACCACTCATTTGTCCTTGTCCACCCATTGGACCATGACCCCACATTTGACCTCGACCACCGCTTTGACCTTGGCTGCTAAGCATGTTAGAATCTGATTCATTATCCATAGCCATATTTCCTTCAAACTTATCCTGAGTTTCATCATTTTGGTCTTGATTATCCAAGTCCATGTCATCATCTCCATCGTTGGACTGAATTCCATGTAACATTGAACCTCGTCCAGGACCTTGCATACGATTCATTTGACCTGGAGCATTTGGACCTCTGAACATTCCTGAACTTGGTCCCGAACCAGGCCCAGGAAATCTCTGACCAGTGTTTAAACCTCCTCTCCTGTCCATCATCCTTGATGGACCAAACTTCCTATCTTGATAGGATCCCAAATTTTGATTGAAGTTATTTCCAGAATCTGATTGTTCTTGATCCTGTGAAACAAAATCATCCTGCTTTTCACCTTGTCCAAAACTGAAATCCCCTTGGTTGTCCTGCCCAAAATTGTCACCACGATTTTGTTGAAATTTTCCACGCTGATTTTGTTGAAAATTTCCTCGCTGCATGTTTGGTCCGAAATTACCTGATTGATTATTACCAAAATGTCCTTGCTGATTAGAACCAAACCCTTCCTTTTGGTCGATTCCTTGGCCAAAATCTTGTTTGTCTTCATCCTGGTCAGCATTTTGTTGCTGATTCTGACCCTGGCCAAATTTTCCTTCATGACCTAAATTTCCCTGTTGATTTGGGCTAAAATTTCCTTGTCTCTGTTCAAAATTGTCCTGTTGGTTTGATCCGAAGTTATCTTGCTGATTCTGACCAAATTTTCCTTGGTTTGGACCAAAGTTTCCTCGCTGGTTAGAACCGAAGTTCCCGCGCTGGTTCGAATCAAAGCCCCCTTGTTGGTTTGAACTGAAGTTACCTTGTAGGTTTGAACCGAAGTTTCCTCGGTGGTTAGGACCAAAGTTCCCTCGCTGGTTCGGGCCAAAGCCCCCTCGTTGGTTTGAACCAAAGTTACCTTGTTGATTTGGACCAAAATTTCCTTGTTGGTTTGGACCAAAATTACCAGGCTGATTGTTGTTTCCTTGTTGGTTTGGACCAAAATTGCCTGGCTGATTGTTATTTCCTTGTTGGTTTTGGCCAAAATTACCAGGCTGATTGTTGTTTCCTTGCTGGTTTGGGCCAAAATTACCAGACTGACTGTTGTTTCCTTGCTTGTTTGGGCCAAAATTGCCAGGCTGAATGTTATTTCCTTGTTGGTTTGGGCCAAAATTGCCAGGCTGAATGTTATTTCCTTGCTTGTTTGGGCCAAAATTGCCAGGCTGAATGTTATTTCCTTGTTGGTTTGGGCCAAAATTGCCAGGCTGATTGTTATTTCCTTGTTGGTTTGGACCAAAATTATCTGGTTGATTGTTGTTTCCTTGTTGGGTTGAGCCTAAATTTCTCTGTGTATTGCTACTGTCTGCTGTTCCCTGCTGTTGGGCTGTATCTACTGTTGTTTCCTCCCTTTTAATAACCTCTGCTTTCCTGGTGGCGATTTCCAACCGTTTCCCCTCCATCTGTTGTTCATATTGTCTCCATGTTGCTTCGTACTGTAGGAACTGTTCCTTGTTGGGATGATCTGAAGCAAACCACATAAAAATTCCTAGAATTATTTTTTTCTCAACAATTTTGATAAAGGTGACCGGACCCCATGGCAACGAAATTCAAAATCTGATAAAGGACTTTAGACTATTCCATCCATGAGTATGTGATTCTGGCTTAGGAAGAAGATTGTAGAAAATATAATCAATCTGTCCCTTTTGGGTAAAATTCCTCAGATCAAGGGGGTATTTTCATATCATCAAACTACAATCGCATTATAACAATTATTAACTAACTTCTGAATTATTTCCCATTGGAAATAAACAAAAGATAACCGTAGGTGTTATTTCCACTATTTCCAAATTGTGTTTAGTATAGAGGTTATATAGTGTTATAGGGTTGCAAGCCTATTATGCAGTAGAATTGAATAATTAATATCTGAAGTATCCACTTTAGTCAAAATGTGATTTCATTCATTTGTTTTTAACGTGGTATCAATACAAGGACTCTGTCAATAGTCAGAGAGACTTTTTAAAGGACAAAATATTTTCTAATTGAATTCAATGCAGCTATTGAAAGCAGTTATAGCAACAACAACAACATCATTATTATGCTAAATTTGTTGCTAGGGTTGAAGGCATAGCGAAGGATATAAAGCAACTACATGTTGAAGTTTACTTTGATTCTGAGCCTTCCAGTCATCATATTGCTGTTTCCACTGTTTGTACTGTACATCAAAGTCTGAAGTAACCAGATGTACTTACTTTGATTCTGAGCCTTCCAGTCATCATATTGCTGTTTCCACTGTTTGTACTGTACATCAAAGTCTGAAGTAACCAGATGTACTTACTTTGATTCTGAGCCTTCCAGTCATCATATTGCTGTTTCCACTGTTTGTACTGTACATCAAAGTCTGAAGTAACCAGATGTACTTACTTTGATTCTGAGCCTTCCAGTCATCATATTGCTGTTTCCACTGTTTGTACTGTACATCAAAGTCTGAAGTAACCAGATGTACTTACTTTGATTCTGAGCCTTCCAGTCATCATATTGCTGTTTCCACTGTTTGTACTGTACATCAAAGTCTGAAGTAACCAGATGTACTTACTTTGATTCTGAGCCTTCCAGTCATCATATTGCTGTTTCCACTGTTTGTACTGTACATCAAAGTCTGAAGTAACCAGATGTACTTACTTTGATTCTGAGCCTTCCAGTCATCATATTGCTGTTTCCACTGTTTGTACTGTACATCAAAGTCTGAAGTAACCAGATGTACTTACTTTGATTCTGAGCCTTCCAGTCATCATATTGCTGTTTCCACTGTTTGTACTGTACATCAAAGTCTGAAGTAACCAGATGTACTTACTTTGATTCTGAGCCTTCCAGTCATCATATTGCTGTTTCCACTGTTTGTACTGTATATCAAAGTCTGAAGTAACCAGATGTACTTACGTTGATTCTGAGCCTTCCAGTCATCATATTGCTGTTTCCACTGTTTGTACTGTACATCAAAGTCACGTTCCTCCTGTTTGATGGCCTCCATAGCTGGGCTCGCTGTAGCTTTTAAAAACAGACAATCATTAATATACATAATTATCAATGGAGTGAGAAAAATGCTACATCTGCAGGGTTGATGACCACAGATTTAGGCTGTGAGAAAGTGAAAATTTGTGATTACTTGCCTGATTCACCAGTGACATTTCCTCTATTGAATATAATCGTACTATATTCCTGTCATATTTCAATTTATTTTATTATTTATACAAAAGTACATAAATGATGTGTGTACAATATGCCAGATAATGTGAGGTTAATTACGAATACATGTTATAACAAAATAATTAGACAACAGGTATACATATCAGTCTTCTCATAATCAGAACATACTGTGATTTAGTTATCTGATCAATTTCTGTACATAGTATGAGGGCATTTTACCAGCTAATAGCTATAGCTGTTGAAGGAACCCTTGAAAACAGCTGGGATCTGTTGACAATCCTGACATACACACCTGGTCCTGAGGGTGGAACTGGTTGATGTGCTTGTGTGTTTGGCTGAGGTGGAGCTCCCCACTGGTTCTGCTGTGACCAGCCTCCCTGTGTCTGGGGCCATTGTTGTTGTTGTTGTTTCTGTTGTTGTTGTTGTTGTTGTTGCCAATGAGCTGCTTGCTGCTGAAGAGCTGTCAGCTTCTGTTCTTCTTCAGCTTTTTCTTTGGTATCTTTAGTCTACAAAATAAAATGAGAATTCTAACAAGTGCTGATTGTAGCAGTGGTCGTCACTAAAGTCCCCAGTCGTAATGAACGATGCCAACTGAAGTCCCGAGTGATTTTAACAGCATAACAAATCTCATAGTCATACCAAAATTGTTGTTTTGGGGTACTTTAACCATTACCTCACAGGTGTCTCATAGGTCAGACATCAATGGAAAGCCTGTGGCTTGTAATTATATGATGCTGTTTATCCGCATTTCATTAATTGATTGATGGTAGAGTTTGTACAAAGAATGGCATCTAACATTAAATAATAATATCAGCAGTGAGGACGTCTCAATTTTAACAGCCACATTAGTAGTAGTAGTACACGTCTATGTTCACATAGTAAATTAAAAGGACAGATCAAACTTGTATGCATGATCTTTCCAGTGCATGTTTAGCCTATTTTTAAAACTATTTATTTGGCATTGTTTCTTTAAGAGCTTTCTCTGGTGACCTCGAGCTGTAGTTGCCGGATAAGTGGATTCCGTTAAATATTATAATTTGGACTTGTCCGCATTGTCAACACCATTCATAATTTTGTACCCTTGAATCATATCATCCATAGTCTTCTATTCAAGTGTACAGGCAATCCTAGTCATTTTAGTAGATCTGGGCCGGGGGCAGGGTAAGGTTAGTCTTGTTATGTAATTAACCTTTTAGTTTATTTACATATTGATGTGACTGATAATTTGATATCGTATCATAGGAGGCAAGCACACTAACATACCCATCTCCTGCATACACACACGCAAGCACACATACACTACACACATCCTTAAATGTCCTTAACTGTTAATAGGACGTTAAACAAAATTAAACCAAACCAAACCGATATGATACTGATAGTGTGTTTATTTTGAATAATAGAAACAGTTGTAAAAGATGTGCATGGATTAACTAGCTTATAGGTTGCAAGTACAAGCATCGATCAGCTGTAGGGAATTTGGGAATTTCCCTTTATCTCAGTGGCAGAGCATCGGGCTGAAGAGCCAAGGGTCGCGGGTTTGAGCCCCAG